CCATGAAGCCGGCCGCTCCTCCAACCGCCGCCTGCCCGCCCACGGCCCGCACAGAGCCACCTCCGCCCGCGACCTACCTAGCGGGGCGCCGCTCGCGGCCGCCCTCACAAAGCAGCTGACCAGCACCTCAGTCGAAATGACCCGCGGACACACTGCAGCCAGACTAAATCTCCCTCCCTCCGCCCCGGGCCGCCCGCCAGCCAATGGGAGCGCGAAGGGCAGAGCGCGCAGCCAATTAGGGCGACGGTGGGCGGGGAACACAGAGGCTCAGGGAAAAGTAAACTGACTGAGGGCGCTCCCGGGGGCTCCCTGAGGAGCCGTGAGGCGGCGGACGAGCTGGCTAGCCAGCCGACTGGCTTGGGCGGGCGTGAGGACTGGCAAGATTTGGATGGTGTTTAGGGAACTATTACTAATAACACTTTGTTCGCAAAAACAAACCCCGGAGAAAAAGGATTATAGATTCCAATTGTGAAAAATCTGCTGGGTTAGAACCCGGAATGGCGTTCGGTCAGTGACCTTTATCGGAGTCCTGTGGAGCCTCTGAAGAGAAGGGACTGAGCAACCATGAAAAATAGTATTTCTCATCTCTATCACCAGATGTGCTCTGGACACGTAAGGTCTCTTGGCCAATAGGGGCTTTTTGCAAAATATCCTTGAGCCGCTAAGATGCGTTGCTGAGGTGGAGAAGGACCATCTCGCCGCCATTCCTCCTCCACAGGCTACCCACAGCCTGGCAGTATGGAAAAGTCTGTTGTTTGCACTCTACAGCTGGTGATCCACTCCCTTAATACCACCAAGCCTGAGGCAGGGGCTGGTCGATTTGTGCGAGGGCGAGGATAAAGGCAAACCTGAATGAATTCTAGGCCCAATCTCCAAATAAATAAATACCGCATTACAGTAGTATGTCTCCTCATTACTGAATTTTCAGATGTAAGCCCCTTAAAGTTTGCCACCTCGAATGGTCCTATGGGCCGAAGAGATGACTCAGAGGTTTAGAGCACGTGCCCTCATGAAAAGAATTCAGATCCAGCACCCCAGAACAGGCTCACAACTGTCTATAATTCTAATTACAAGGGATTCAACAGCCTCTGGCTTCTGAGGTCATTTGCCTGCATGTGATGCACATTCATGGAGCGACACTCACATATTTAAATACATATATTTAAAAAAATATGACCCTGCTATAAAGGACTTAGGGACCATTGTGTGTACTGCAACAAGCCAGGTTTGGCCACTCATCCTCAATGAGCCAAATACTTTAGAAAAACAGAAAAATATGTATTCAATATGGCCACATTGGGAGGAGGGACAGATTCTAAGACTTCCCCAAGCCTGTCTTTAGGGTATAATGAGGATGTGGCTGTTAGCTTAGTTTGATCTGTGAGATAAGCAAGAAATTGACTGTCTTGTAAAAAAAAAAAAAACAAACAAACAATATATAAGAAAGCCAGAGGGGGATTGGAGAGATGACTCAGGAGTTAAGAGCTCTTCCAGAGGTCCTGAGTTCAATTCCCAGCAACCACATGGTGGCTCATAACCATCTGTAATGAGATCTGGTGCCCTCTTCTGGAGTGCAGGCATACATGCAGACAGAACAGTATATGTATAATAAACAACCAAACAAACAAATCTTAAGAAAGAGAAAGGAAGGAAGGAAGGAAGGAAGGAAGGAAGGAAGGAAGGCAGGCAGGCAGGCAGGCAGGAAGGAAGAAAAGCCAGAGGATGATCTCCTGTCAGGATGAGAGAGGAAACCCCAAGTTGGGAGTCTGCCCAGGGCATGCTGGGTCCTTGTATTTTTCTTATCACCTCCCCTAGATGTGTGTTGCTGAGCAGGCCTTTTTCTTCTCACTGCCTTTTCCCCTGAGAAAGATCTTAGGAAGCGTGTTCCAGGCCATCTTGGAAATTCACCACCTTTATTACTTAGTCATGGCCCATCACCCGATCTGCCTGCCTATCAGGGAGTCTGCCTAACTCCTAGTCTCTCCATAGAGTTAAATAGAAACATTCTGGCCACGTTGTGGTCCTGCCCATGGTAGTCTCAACTCCAGTGACTGCTGGAAGAGCATTTGGCAACTGTGTTTCCTCAGGAGACAAGCTCCTTTTCTGGATGCCCCAGAGCCTCAGTTGTTTCTATCCCAGCACATTCCTGAGGTTCTGATTTCTTGGGTTCCATAGTTTCATGTGGTGAGAGAGTCAAAGACTGTAGCTTCAGAGTCTCTGCAGACAGGCTGGCCACAGTCCTAGCGCCCTCATCTTTTACTTAGGCTCTCTATATTCTCCCAAATATCTGCCATGCTAGGTGGAGTCACATTTGGTGAAGCCTGGTGCTTGTCCTCTTGGGGAAGGGACATGCCCTTGTGGCCTGTTGCCATGTTGTTGTATAAGAGTTACCTCAGATATTGAAAGATTCTGTCCTGTAGAGAAGCTCCTTAAGCAGGAAGGTAAACAAATCAGAATAGTTCAGGAAGTCCCTGAAACAGATCAGATTTACCAGAATAAGCAATAAAAGCTTCTTAGAGTCCCTTAGAGACTCACTGAACATAACTGCAAAGACTCAAAAGACCAAGCTGCAGCTCAGCTATTACAAATATAAGTATTACCAACACCCTCTTACAGCCATGCCTACTTCCATTATCCCCTACAGAGTACCTGTTTCCGTTATCCCATACATAACTGATGCTCAGTAAAGTTCTATTGCCCTTCTGAAGGACCTTAGTTGCTTACCAACACCCATGTACAGCTCTACAGACTGTAATTAATTCAGCATTAAGTGATACAACAGAAATAATATGTGGTGGTTTAAGAGTGTCCTCATATAGTTGAATGATTTAGTCACCAGGGAGTGGAACATTTTGATAGGTTTAGAAGGAGTAAGAGGTATGGCCTTACTGAAGGAAGTGTGTCACTGGAGGTGGGCTTTGATATTCCAAAAGCCTATGGCAGACCCAGGTCTTGTCTGCCTGTGGATCAGGATATAAAACTCTCAGCTACTGCTCCATGCCTGTCCTCTTCCCACCATGATGATCATGGACTCACACCCTGAAACTGTAAGCAAGTCCCTAATTAAATGCTTCCTTTTGTAAGAGCTGCCTTGGTCATGTTGTCTTTTTTACAGCAACCGAACAATAAATAACACAATGTATGATTATTATTATTATATTAAATTATAATTTTATGTTCCAGCAATAACTTATGTTACCAGCTTACAATGGATTGTATGAATAATACATTAAACGATAGGATAGAAATAAAGTATGCCTTATGGTTAATTTTATGCTAACAAGATTACAGTGTCCAGATACTACTATGGAAGAACTATATAGACTTACAACCTATGGTCATCATCTCTTCTGATGTCAAAAAGGTGTCCATCAATAATGTGGGTGACCCTCAACCAATCAACTCAAGGCCTTCAGGACAGAAACAGTTTTCCCAGAGGAGTGCAATATGGGATTCCCCTTTGTCTTATTACCATTGGTTATAAAAGAAGCTGTTTTGGCCAATACTTAGTAGAGTAAAGCCAGCCAGAAAATCTAAACAGAGATATGGAGAGAGAGTAGGTAGAGTCAAAGAGATGCCATGTAGCTGCTGAAGGAGAAAGACGCCAGCCAGAACCTTACCCGTAGGCCACAGCCTCATGGTGATTCACATATTAATAGAAATGGGTTAATTTAAGGTGTACGAGTTAGCTAGAAATATACATAAGCTATTGGCCAAACAGTATTGTAATTAATATAGTTTCTCTGTGATTATTCGTGGCCAGGTGGCCAGGAAACGAACGAGCAGTCGCCTCTCACAGGAGTGGGACTTCTGCTTCTATATTTTGCTGAGTTTCCAAGTTGCTAGGCTGCTGTACAAAGTTCACAAGACCACAGCATCCATTTTTGGTTTTGTATTTTTAGTCTTTTTTTTTTAAGTCAGGGTCTCATTGTGTAGCTCAAACTGTCTTGGAACTCATTGTGTAGCCCAGGCTAGCCACAAATTCATAGAGATCCATCCATCTCTGCCTCCCAAGTGCTGGGTTAAAGGTGTGTGCCAGCCACTATACCTAGCTCACAGCATCCATTTGTTTGAATCTGTAAATTGCTCTCAACATTTCAAATTTGACAGCCCCCATAACCACATGATTTATTTCTAAATCTCCTCATATATGAATATATAATACATAGTACATTTAATCGTGTATATACATATATATGTCCTGTGGGTTCTGTTTTTGTGGGGAACTTTTATTTTTGTGAGGTAATGGAAAGAGGTGAGTACATGTGTCACATGATACCTGCTCTGGAGTCAGAGAATAGTTTTGTAGAGTGAGTTTTAGGGCTTCAATTCCGGTCTGCAGGCTTTTGAAATACGTGCCTTTCTTTACTCACTGAGCCTTCTCACTAGCACTCTTTGGGGTGTATTGACTGATAGAATTCTAAGCAGCTAAGTAAAGCTAACTGTCTTTTATAAAAGGGATAGACTGATCTGAACACTTGCCCTAGATAAAGCAGGTATATCCAGAAATGCAAGCCATTTATTTAATATCTTGCCATTACAGTGAAATGGTTAATGCTTTTTACTATTCCATATACTGTCCTCAAGGTCTGAAACGACTGTAGTCATGCAGAAAAGCCTGTGTGGTGTGGGGCCAGTTCACAAGGCCAAACTCCTTCTCAAGACACAGTTAACAGTTGACCGGGAAGAGCGACTCATGAGGCCCCTCCCCTTCCTGAAGATATGGCAGTTAATTAACTGTTGGTGGGGGCAGGGAGAGCTTACAAGGCCCCCACTGTAAGGATCTTGACAGTTGACAGTTGCTGGGAAAGGTGGTTTGGTTTTGTTTTCTTTAGTGGTGTAGATGCCCCAAAGTCACATGTGCTTCTGTAAGTAATTCCAACTAAAAGGATATTTGTTTTTGTTGCTGGTGCCCTATGTAGAGTGAGAAGGCTTTGGTTTATATCTCGTTGGGAAAAGTTCATATTATCAGATAATAACTGGGTATCAGGATTGCTTGTTATGAAATTCTTGATAGGCAGTAGTTACAACAAAGGACCGTACTTAGGAAATATTGTAATGAGGGGATATCTCCTTTGTTTGCTGTGAATGTTTTATTACCAATGATTAATAAAGAAGCTGCTTTGGCCTGTGGCAGGACAGAAGATAGCTGGGCAGGAAAACTAAACTGAGTGCAGGGAGAAAGAAAGCAGAGTAAGACAGAAGCCATGAAGCTGCCCAAGAAGCACAAGCCTCGTGGTAAAATATAAAATAGAAATGGGTGAATTTAAGATGTAAGAATTAGTAAGAAGCCCGAGCAAATAATCCAAAGAATATGTAATTTATATTAAGCCTCAGAGTGATTTTATAAGCGACTTTGGAACAGGCAGGTGGAGAAAACTGGGTACAGGGAGACCAGCCAGATGGAGAATATTTGTAGCTATAGTATTGACAGGAAGGTGTAAAAGATTGGTATGGGCTTCCATATTGTAAAATACAGTCCGCAGATGACCATCTATTTTGATAAATAAAACTTGTATTATAACAGAACATGCTTGTTTGTAATTGTGAGGTTGATGGAGACAACTTGGAAATAGAAGAAAACCATCTCCAGAAGCAGAATCATCCCTTCAATCAGAACAACTTTTGAGTTGCAGTCATTCGATAGAGAGGTAGTACATGCATGGCATAGGGTTCTTGCGGTTATACAGTGTAGGGAAAAAGGGCCAGCCAAAGGAACACACTCTGACCAGAGCTAAAGAAACATTCTTTAGCCCTGTAACAAGAGCCAGTGAAAGAAAAACATCCTGTCCCTGAAACTGGAGCCAAAAGACTAAAAAGGACCAGTAAAAGAATCACACTTCAGCCCTGAAACCAGAGCCAAACCTGCACTTGACCAACTGAGCACAAAACCAATCCCTGAGCAGGAAAACCAACCAATCCCTGAGCAGAAAATCTAGCCAATCCGAGTTTTCCCAAGATCAAGGGATTGAAATCTGACCAATTCCCATTCTGGAAATTTTCACCCTATTAAATTCCACCCCCTAAGAAGCCCTATATAAGCCCTATGCCTGTTCAGTTTGCTGCTGCCTTTATCCACCCCGGCAGAGGCAATCACTGGACTCTCCTGGATTCTTCTCTCCCAATAAATTTCTTGAATGAGGTTTGACTGAGACCTTTTGCTGGGGCAGAGGAGCCTGGGCTGAGCATGACGGGGAGAGTGGAGCAGGAGTCTAACATGTTCACTAGGGAAAGTTTCCAAAGAGTTGTTACACTGGGGGACCTGACTGGGGGAGAGAGGAGCCCTCCCCTGCCAGGACAGAGTTGTTACATTGGGGAAACCTTGCCCAGGAGCAGGACTGTAAGCTGCTACACTTAAGAGAGACTTTGTGGTATTCATTTTCTCCCAGTTGCCAGAATAGTTTTCCATCCAACTTGTAACACTTAGAATAGTGCAGGGGTTAGTCAACTATAGTTATGGTGTCTTGTCAAAACATTTTTTAAAAAACAAAAATTATCTTGTGTAAACTGGTCACTGGTCACATAGACCAGTCATAAATTTCTATACAATGTCTCTGACCTAAAGGTTTTGAGACCAGCCTGATGGCCTAACTGCTATCTTTCTACTTCTGTAAACAATGCTTGCTTGCGGCAGATGTCCACAGTTGTCTATGTCATACAACTGAGGTTTTGCCTTTAAAAGCTCAAATTGGGAGGTCAAGACTCGATATCATTTGACTTATTCAGATCTCTCAGTGGTCTCCTAAAAGGACAAAAAAGGAGAACCTGTGGGGAAGGGTGAGGGCCAAAGGTCAGTTCCCTGCAGTCTAGAAGTGACAATAACCAGGTTTGCTGTGTGGCTCCCACGTCAGAAGCACCCACAGGTGTCAGTCAACCATTGTGTCCAGATTCTCAGTCCAGAGACATTTAGGTCATTAACCCTTAAATACACACACAGTCTGCACCTGTATAACGGAGGCAATGCATAGGCACCAGAAAGCCTTCTAGGAGACAGTAGGCCAAACGCTGCAAATCATGGCGGGCCAGTGCTTCCACTAGCAACCACCTGGGAAAAACTGCAAAAATCACTGAGGCATCGAAGAGCACTAGAGACAGTGGAAAACACTCACAGAGCAGGGAAACTCAGAAATGTGTTAACAGATTTAAGTCCAGTTTCAGAGACAGCCTCATTTTCAATTGTAGCCCTGGCTGGCCCAGAACTGGCTTTGTAGGCCAGGCTAGCCTTGAACTCATTGAGATCGCCTACCTCTGCCTCCTGTGTGCTGGGAATAAAAATGTGACAACAGCCACTTATTATCATTTGTTAAATGAGACATATATTAAGGATCAGAGAGCAATTATTGTTGAAAAACATCTGATTTCAACACTCGTGTGAAATGACTGACAAAATGAGTCTCGATAAAAAGTTTCTTTCTACAGCTTCTGTCACTTAGTCTTGCTGGCGTCCTCCGAGCATTCAGAAGGCTGAGGAAGGAGGATGATGAGTTTGAAGACAGTCTGGACAGGTCTCAAAACTCAACTTCCCAAACAAGAGCTAGAGATGTAGTTCAATGATAGAATATTTCTGTTATGCAAAAAATCCTGGTTTGACCCCCAGAACCACCGAACAAAGTTGTAACACACAAGCAAATATTTTCCTTCCAAACAAAAAGTTTCACATATTTATTACTGAACTATTGAATGAACCTTACCAGAGCACAAAAACAAAGAAAAAAACTCACATCTCCAATAAACACACTCAGATATCCAGACAATGGTAAGGTTTTAAACTTGATGCAGTAAGTTAACAGTGACTTTCAAACAGCATCAATACGCATGGTTCCTTATAGACCCAGTTTGGTTCGTCTCCAGTGTCTCCTCTTGGAGTTGTACATGATTTTATTGCCAGTTCTCATCTGAATCCATTGTGGAATGGGACGATTTTGCTTTTGTTTCTTAGCCAGGACTCGCTTGATCCTGAATGTCTTGTGAGAAGCCATGGTGAAGAAAAAAGTCAGACAGGCACACACTGTGTGAGAGAGAAAGGCAAAAACTTGTAGTCAGTAACAAAAATGGATGATGGTACCTGGGCATGGTGGCACATGCCTTTAATCCCAGCACTCGGGAGGCAGAGGCAGGATCTCTGAGTTTGAGGCCAGCCTGGTCTACAAGGCAGGTTCCAGGACAACCAGGGTTATTACACAGAGAAACCCTGTTTTGAAACAAAACAAAAAATGATGAAAGTGGCATTCAAGAAGAAAAGCATGTGAAACAATCACAACAGTTGATCTAGAAACTGGTTAAGAACCAAAAAATTCCACCATGAATTCAACCAATAATTGAACATACAGTTCTCAAAGTCAACCTGAACTAATGTGACCCTGTCTAAAAAAACAAAACCAAAAAAAAAACCCCACCAGAAAAACAAAAACAGAGAGTGTGGTGAAGGGAAAGCAGCTGCTCAATTAGTTGATTCATTCCATCAGAGAATTTAATAATTGGGAAAAGGTTTCACTAAGTAATTTCCTTCCTGGATCAAACAGTTGGCAGAAACATATTGTGTTAAGACTGACCTAAGTAACAATCTCATGCCTCATGGGTTAAAGATTTGTAACCAACCACATTTTTATGACATTTTAAATTCTTCCTCAAACAGCAGTGTCTTGCATATGTGGGTATAAATGTTTGCTGGAAATTTAAATTCTTTTGCTAAAATTATTAACTATCTTTCTTTTCTTAATTTCTTACACCAAAAATAGTTTTAAAAATATTTAGCTAGATCAAAAACAAACAAAAAACAAAATAAAAAAACAAACCCTAATTTTGATAATGCAATCATTTAATTTTATTTGAATACTTCCAGTCTGCTACAAAATGCAAAGATGAGCCAGACATGGTAGTGCATACTGTCAATCCCAGTATTGAGGAGGTAGTCATGGCAACAGTTCAATTTCTACCGAGTTCAAGTCCAGCCTGGTCTACACAGCAAGCTCTCAGTCATCTAGTCAGTGAGGGCTACAAAGTTAGACCCTGTCTTGGAAAAGAGAACGTGAGAAAGAGAACCTTTCTTTTGTTATCAAAAGAAAAAAAGTATTTTAATAATGTAAAGGACAGTTTAAAAATAAAGACAGAGAGCTGGAGATGAGAGTATGTTCTTCCCGAGGACCCCAGTTCAGTTCCTAGCACGTGTGTCAGTTCACAGCAGCTGACACACATCTATAACATCAGTTTCAAGGGATCGATGTCCTCTTCTAACCTATGTGGGGACCAGGCACACACAGTTCACATACATACATACAAGCACTCATATACACAAAAATAAACCTAAAAATAAAAGTTAAAGGAGACAGAACAGCTGAAATTCTCCATCACAAAGGTCTGTTCACAAATAACTTTTGCCATACATTGAACTCATGATCTATTTTATCTTTGAAAACTTGAATGCATTTCCCAGCTTTTACCACTGGGGGGGAAATGACTTATATACTGACCATAGACCCCCCTAATGTGCCCTCTGAAGTGGTTAGACTAAGAATGTTCCCCTCCCCCCACAGGCTCATCTAACTGAATGCTTAGTCACCAGGGAGTGGCACTATTTTGAAAAAGATTAGGAAGTGTGTGACCTTGTTGGAGGAAGTGTATCGCTGGGGGTGGTCTGAGCTTTCCAAAGCCTAGTCTTTCCCCTCCCCCTCTTTTACCCCCATCTCCCACCCAACCACCTGTGGATCAGGTTATAGTGCTCAACTGCTTCTCCAGCACCTGCCTGCAAGCTGCCACGCTCCCTGCCATGATGGTAATGCATTAAGCCTCTAAACTGTGAGCAAACCACCAATTAAATGCTTTCTTTTGTAACAGCTGCCTCTGTCACAGTGTTTCCTGAGAGCAACAGAATAGTGACTGAGACACCATCTAAATATTATTTCCTATGCTGATTTGGTGTCTAAGGTCTGTAATCCCAGCACATGGAAGGTAGAGTCAGGAAGATCGAGAGCTCCAGGTCAGGCTCAACTACATGAGACTTGAGTGGGGGGAAAAAACCAAAAGGGTTAAGTAGAATTAAGAGCTTGGTATACAGGGCCTATATGTAATCACAGCCCTTGGGAGGTAGAAGTATATAAGAGACTCTTACTATACAGCACTGGCTAGCCTGGAACTTGCTAAGTATGCAGACCAGGCTGGCACTGAACTCAGAAAGATCTGCCCGCTCTCTGCCTTCTGACTGATAGGCGGGATTAAAAGCACATGCCACTATGCCTGGCTCAAGGGTATATTTTGAAACAAACATAAATTTAGTCATTGTATCACTCTTATTGTTTAGGATTGCTTGTGAGAGGGTCTCATAAAGCTGGTATGACCTCAAATTCTCTAAGCAGGTAAAGGTAGCCTCTAACTCGGGATCTTCTTGCCTCCCCATGGAAGGCAGTTTATATGCTGTCTGTTATTCCAGTTCATGTAAAACAGTGACTTTCAGCTTGTTCCTTGCCTTGAGATTCCATCTGAGTGCAGTCTTAGAGGCATCTCCTTTGGACACAAAGATACCACCTACCAAGAAGCTCAAACTGATAAAACTATTCAAAGGGAAACAAAGCACATTGGAACCATATAAGCACGAGGGCATAATAAAACCTTCTCAAAACCAAAACAAACCCCAAACATACTGGACACATGAGATCAACAAAAGCTTTCTATTGGACCCCATTAAGACTCAACACTGCCATGGTGCCAGTACCAGTGACATGTCATCGGACCACCAAGCACGTAGGACTGACAGGAATTCCATCTTGTCCTCCATCTCACCTTAAAGGTGCTATGCCTCTGTTGGTTAGCTCAGCTCACCCTGAAGCTCAGCTCTGTAAGCCTCTAGCAGCTCTTCAAATGTCTTCCTTAACATTTTATCTGACCAATGGGAATGACCGTATCAGCCACTTGACCGATCTTACTATGTATCAAAACTATGAAGAGTTGTCATCTCTGACTTGTATCTTGTTTCTTCTACTGTGGGATCAGTAAGAGTGTCCATCTTCCTGTATCACATCTTTCAAAGATGAGGCTGCCAACTAGTTAGGTATTAACAAACTTTGGAGAACACTGGAGTCAGGGGCCCCAGGAGCCACAAAATAAACCTCGTGTAAAGCAAAGGCTTGAAACTGCAGTACTCTTAATGAATGGCCCCAGGGACAGAACCCGAGTCACACCTCTGGCCCTATGGGAAGATATGATATCCTTAACTGTTCAGAAACTTGTAACTGAAAGACCCCCGATATTGGAAGACTCTTACTCAAGCCTCGGGATAACGCAACCCCCCCCAGTAACTCACGAGAGACCGTCCTTGCTGCAATCACACAAGGTTTAATGACAAGACGACAAGACAGGAACCAGTGCACTGGGGCTGAGACTCATTAACCCATGCAGGGGAAGAGTTCGACCCTGAGTGACCAAGAGTAGTAGTTTTTAATATTTTTGATTTTTTTGATTTTTGAGACAGGGTTTCTCTGTAGTTTTTGGTGCCTGTCCTGGAACTAGCTCTTGTAGACCAGGCTGGCCTCGAACTCACAGAGATCCGCCTGCCTCTGCCTCCCAAGTGCTGGGATTAAAGGCGTGCGCCACCACCGCCCGGCCTAAGAGTAGTAGTTTTTATAGGAAGAAACCAAGAAGCCCAGTAATCCGAAAGGGGGGCAGAGAGGGTGTCACAGAAAATTCCGAAAATTCCAGTGATGATTACAAGGGGGCAACTCCCTGCCTCTCAAGATCATTCTCAAGGTCATAATCAGCTAATTCCTATTCTAAAAATACCAATGATAATCACTAGGGGGTGATAATTACTGGGGGAATCTGCCTGTTTCTCAAGATTACTCTCAAGATTACAATCTACCTTTATCTTCAGCTAGTTCCTGAAACCCTGAAATTGGCTAATCCTAGATTTCTGATTCTTCTCTTCCTGCTAGATTTTTGGCTCTATTTTCCTGCTAGGGGGATCTGGTTTTATTCAGGTCTTTCAGTAACTAGATTTCCAAACACTATAACTATCAAAGAAGAGACTTTCTAATAAAGAACAAGGGGCTATCAACTGTTTCCATCTGTAAAACCAATCCAAAAGAGGCTGCAGAGCTGTGGATGTAGCTGAGGTGGATAGAATATGGCACACAGGCTGCCCAAGGTCCAAGCCCAGATTTGTGTAAACCAGCCGTGGTAGGATTCGTTAATTCTAGCGTTGCAGAAGTGGAGGCAAATGATCTTTCTCCTCTACACAGTGAACGTAGAGGGGGATCAAGAGCAGGAATTGGTACGGTCTAAAAGGGAAATAAGGGAGGCCAGAAAGGGAAGGGACTACAAGCTGAACTTAGGAAATAAAAGTACAACCATGTTAATCAAACCTACTTATTTTGCAGATTGAGTTACAATAACTAAAAGGAACTTGTAGGGTTCTTAAAACAATTAATTAAAAAATACTGTTTCCTCTTACCTCTGCTGAGTGTACACAACAAGCTGAGCGCCCGACTCTGCTGGGTTTCCTAGAAAAAGAAGGAGGTATGATAAAAGAGTTTTCCTAGGAGTAGGGAGGCACAGGATACACATGGGTCACACATGGGCGGCAGTGGCGCAGGTGTGGCCCAGGCCGAGACCTGCAACACCACACAACCAAGGAGTCCAACCCATCCACCTGCGAGCGCTAGCCAAAGGGAGCCCCGGACCACACAATGGGAGCCCTGGACCACACAATGGGTGCCCCGGACCACACAATGGGAGCCCCGGACCGCACAACGGGAGCCCCTGACCTCACAACTGGAGCCCTGGACCGCACACCAGAAGCGGTGCCTAAAAGCCTCTGGCAGTTAGGATAATGGCGGCCACCGGAAATCCGTCAGGTCTCGTGGCTAAAAAGGGGCGTTGACTGTTGTAAGTACGCAGGCGCACAGTGCGCGAAGCCTGCAGCATCGGCTTCAGGCCGAGGAGAACCGTGGGCTGGGACTGGCTGAGTCTTGGTGTCAATCGGGTGGATGCTCAGCAGAATGCCATTGCCTGCTAGTCTGTCCAGGATGGCAGTTGGACTCTTAATGCCGCAGGAGCTCGGAATCCGGAAACTACACATACCGTTGTGCAGGAGGGAAGTGTTACAGGAATACCACTCTCCACCCCTAAGGCTCAAAATTGTTACTAGTTGTGGATCATCGACAGATAAACGGGTTGCAGACATGAAAAGAGTTAGGAAATAGCATGTCATATGCCGTGGTGACTCTTGTTCATAATCCTAACACTTGAGAGGTAGGGGATACATTAAAAGAAGTTCAAGCTCATTCATGGCCACATAGCAAGTTCCAGACCAGCTTGGGACATGTGAGAGACCTTGTTTCAAAAAAGTAAAATCGCTGGGCAGTGGTGGTGCACGCCTTTAATTCCAACACTCAGGAGGCAGAGACAGGTGAATCCAGCCTAGGCTACAGAGTGAGCTCAAGGGCAGGCTCCAAAGCTATAGAGAAACCCTGTCTCAAACAAACAAAAAGTAAAATCACACATCAAAGACATTAGTTACTTATGCCTAGCAACTCATGAGAGTGAAGGCTGTTGAAGAATCTGGCCAAGGCTTCTGACCTCAAGCTCATATTTATACAGTACCCACATAAAAGGTTTTGTTGATGTTGGAGTTGTGTTCTTATTTTTTTCCACATTGTCATAGCTCATAAAAGTTAAAGAGTTGTGGTCATGGTGTCTCTTCACAGCTATAAAACCCTAAGTAAGACACCATCCCAGTGGTCAACTATCTTGGGCAAGGGCAACTAATTCTTGATTAACCCAGCCTGTACTAATCCCCAGGCTGTTGTGACCTGTACTCCTCTACTGCTACTTACCCCCTTAAACTGACAAGGCTTCTCCCACTGCCTGCTCTTCTCTGCCACCTGAGAGACAGCCCAGCAGTCGTTTTACTGTGCCTTCAATTTGAAATGGAAAGGCTGATCTGTCTTTAACTGAGCTGTTGGTTATTGCCAAGCTATGAATGCCACTATTGCACATTTAGAGAAGTCTTGCCATGTTGGGCATTGTTGTGCTTCATAGGCATCACAGCTAGGTAGGTGTAGAAATTTCTTCCCCCTCTTGGCAGCTTACATAGCACTAGTACTATGAAAGGTGATCCTTAGGGAGGAGGTTTTCAGGTCAGATACAGTCACCTGAATCCGGTGTCTGAAGTGTATGGTTGTAATGGTCTGCTCTGTCCCTTTAAGAGACAAACCACGCCCACTCCCAGCCTCCCCAGGCAAGCTGATCTTCAGCTTCCAGCTTGAGTCCCCTCTCTTTTCCATCTCTCCCCCAAGAGGCAGCTTCTGCCTCTCTCCACTCTCCCTACTTCTCCCCTTCCCTCTTGTTTCTCTCTCTGCTCTTCCCCCTTCTTTCCTTACTCACCCTCCCCTTCCCTTCTATAACCCACTAAATAAATACCCAACCTCACTCTGCATGGTGTGCCTATCAGGCTGTCTCTTACTCGCCAGGGCTGTGGCTCCTTGTGAGACTGGCTGCCCACTGCAGCCACTCGGGGAATGGCGCCACTTTATTTTTACCACAACACTTTAACCAGAAATGAGGTGATCAATCAAATCAAATCTTATGGTGACAGAGAGGAAATTCCATTCTTTACCCCAGTTCTTTCTCTATGCAAACCTAAAGCTCAAGAAAGTCACACTTAAAATCATAGCACTTGGGAGGCAGAGACAGGAGGACCAGGGAAGTTCAAAACCAATCTGGTCTACATAATGATTTTTAGGGTAGCCAGGGCAATATAGCCAGATTCTGTCTCAAAAATCAACCCCCTCCATAAAAGGTTTATGTACTGACACAGTAGGTCAGATCAAATGGGAAAAGCATAACAACAGGTTTATTTGATCAAACAGCTCCAAGGCAGGATCTCCAGTCTTAGAGATCGGTGCCTGAGAAACTGCTCCCACAGAGGAAAGCAGGGAGACTTTATAGGTTATTGGCAAAGGGTGATCACATGTCTTCCACAAACTGGGTTTGTGCTCAAGTATGGTCAAAAGCTGAACACTTTAGGTGGGGACTTGGGCAACTGGCAACTTTAGAGTTGCCAAAATGTGGAACTCTTTTCCTTTGTTCGGTGTCTTTCCTTTGTTCGGTGCCTTTCCTTTGTTCGGTGCCTTTCCTTTGTTCGGTGATTCTCTGAGTGGGCAGGGTTTGGAGAGAGACCAGAATGGGGTTTTCTGGATCCTGTAGGGGTGATCTGGGGGTTCCACAGACAGACACACAAGGACTTCTCTGAGGGCCAAATCTCAATTCTGCATTTTATTATTCTTTCTGGTCCTTTGTCCTATTCTATAATTTTTCTGTTCTGTTCTTCTATCCTGATGTTTTCTTCCTTCTTGTCTTTATTTTTTCCTTTGCAGCTTATATACCACAGCAAAATCTCTCAAGCAAATATAAAAATTGCAATGTTGTTACATTCTATTTTTCAGCTGAATGATTCCAATGAAAACAAGTAAAAACCTGCATATTTTTCATATCCTTTACATGATTAACACTTCACATATTACAGTCAAAAACCAAACTATCTCTAAGAACACCCATACATTCAAGACCAAACAATTTGTTATAGATTAACAAAGACTAAGCAAGCAAGATATTTTCTCAATATACCAGGTTTTTTTACTGGCAGGCTGCAATTTGCTGTTATAAAGGAAAGATCAATCCTTTCATTATCTCAAAAGGTAATCTTAAAAAAATCACAAATCTAAACTTTTACATATGAAAACCAGTATTTCTACTCTAAGTCCTCAGGGTGCATACCCACTCTAATGGATTAAGTAAAATGCTGCAAATCCCCAAGTGGCTGCAGCGGGAAGCGGGTCCCAAGACACCGCCTCAGGTAGGCAGCAGGTCTCTGAAGTAGAGGCAGGCAGTGGGCAGTGGGTCCCGAGAGCAGCCAGTCCCAGGCAGGGACAGCACAGTTCCTCAAGTGGCCGCAGCAGGCCATGAGCCCCAGGCAGGGAGTCCCAGGCAGGGAGCCGTATGGTCGGTGAGAGACCTCTATGAGGCAGCCAGTCCCAAAAGGAACAACAGACAGATGGGCATGCCATGAGCCCACACAGCAGGTCTCTGAAGGTGGCTGGCTTGGGGCAGGGAGCCACGTGGTGGGCAAGAGACAGATGGATAGGCACACCATGCAGAGTGAGGTTGGATATTTATTTAGTAGGTTATGGAAGGGAAGGGAAGAAGGGGAGAAGAAGAAGAAGAAGAAGAAGAGGAGGAGGAGGAGGAGGAGGAGGAGGAGGAGGAGGAGGAGGAGGAAGAGGAGGAGGAGGAGGAGAGAGCCAGTAGGGAAGAAGTGGGGAGGAGAAGGGAGAGACAGAAATGTCTTCAAGAGAGATGGAAAAGAAGAGACTCAGGCAGGAAGCTGAAGATCAGCTTGTGGTGGACTGGGGAAGGAGTGGGCATGGCTTGTCTCTTAAAGGGACAGAGCAGATCATTACACCCACGCATTAGTAGTTTTTTTTTATTTATTAAATCGTATCAGGAAGCTGAGGACAGAAATGGGAACAAGGAATCAATCACCACCTTTGATCACCTACCTATCCTAGCAAGAAAGGCACATCAGTCAGCAAGAGTCAGGCAGCCATTGTTTATGTTCCCTGACCTCAACGAGTTCCTCTCTCAGCTATTAAAAGTGTGCCTTTCTAAACTTTAAATTTGTTATGCCCAGATCACAGGAAACCAACTAGGTCCAGGAGACTGAGTCCTGTATGTAAAAGCAAGGAGTCTTTATTCAAGCTCAAGCTTGGACTCTCCATCTGTCTGACACAGCGGTTGAGAGTACAGAGTGCCAAGCCCAGATGGGGTTGGATTTTTTTCTTATCATAGTAGAGGTTGGGGTAAGGTGATTTCCAGGACTCAGGCCCCTGATTGGCAGACATTTATCTAGGGGTCTTGGCAAAAGGAGAATAGGCAGTCCTGGGCTCAGGGACATATAGTGGTCTTATCTAACCTTATCTAATGGTTGGAATATCAGGTACTTCCCTTTAGATGCTGGCCCTCCCTGGGTGGTGTCAGCTTATGGCTTTTCCTGGAACCTGGTGCTGCCTGCCATAGCAGCTGTGCAGCCTGGCCCCCCACCCACCCAAATTGTTCCGTAAGGTTTCTACCTCCAAGTCATTGACAGAAACATCTTAACATAACTTTACTAACAATCTACATTTCGAAATTCTTTCCAATGGTGGTGGTTGAATCACTAATATATTCCAATAGCCGTGCTTGGAAAAAGTCAATCACTGTTATGGTAAGTACCAGTAGCATGGCCCAGCGAGGGACTAGAAACCCCCTGAGAGTTTTCGTACAACTCATAGATTATGAGGGACATGGTGACCATGAAGGCAACAACCAGAGCTATGCTCAATAACAGCATGAAGTCCTTAGGACACATAGTCCTCCAGGTTCTGCCTCTCCAAGGCTCACTCAGGTGTGACTTTCCTGATTGCCCAGTCATGTCCTATGAGTTCCATTGCTGTTTGTTGGTCCACTGGCATGGCTCCTGACAGTGTACCATTATGCCCGGCTCATTCATTTTGTTGTTGTTGTTCATTGTTATCTATGCATCTATCTATCTATCTATCTATCTATCTATCTATCTATCTATCTATC